CTGTAATCAACACACATACGCCATGTTTCATCCTTTTTCTTTACTAAGAGCACCGGACTGGCAAACGGACTTGAACTGTGACGGATGAAACCCTTCTGAAGCAACTCATTAACCTGTCTTTCAATCTCATTTTTCTGAAAATATGGACACCTGTAAGGTCTCAAATTAGGTGGAATTGATCCAGGAAGAAGAGGAATCGTATGGTAGTGCTCCCGGATCGGTGGTAGTGTTGTAGGCTCACGAAAGACAGCTGCAAATTCCATATAGAATTCCTCCAAATCCATGACTTCGCTGTTGGTTGGAAACTCATTAGTGCCAACAGCCATCATGGAGTGCAGAGCCGCTTCGGATTTAGTGGATTTGGGAATTCCCTGCAATTTATACCTTTTCCCATCTACCCAGAAAATCAGAAACATTTCATTCCAGTTGGCTTGAATAGTGTTCAGAGAAGCCAACCACTTGATGCCTAGCACGAGATCAGATCCAGATAGAGAAAATGGATAAAAATCCTGAGTAATACTCAAACCTGGAAGCTGCAATTTTACGGCCTTGCATATTTTTCCACATCGCACAAGGCTGCCATCCCCAATCTGTACCCCCAACACCGGAATAGAGGTGGTAACTAAATTTAATTCATTTACCAACCTTTCTGAGATGAAGTTGTGGGTGGAGCCGCTATCAACCAAACACAGGACATTGCGGTTTTGAATTGATCCTTGTAGTTTCATTGTTGCCGCTGCTGATGTCCCAAGAATGGCATTGAAAGAAATTTCTGCCTCTTCTATGATTTCTTCCATTTCAGGAGCAGGCTCAAATGTTTCCGGAATTGGATTTCCTTCCACATCTACTTCCATTAGTGAGAAAGTGGATGTCGTACAACGGTGCCCTGGTCGAAAAGGGTCTCCACAGCGGAAACAGAGCCCTTTGTTTCGTCGTTCTTGCCGAGTAGTATCCCACGAATTAGAGCGAAAGGGAATGACTGATTGTGAGGAACCTGGGTTTTGCGACGTAGGATTGTGCGAAGTCGAGGTCTTTGCTGACAAATCAGTTACAGATTGATTCCTGCCCGAGTTGGTGCTGTAAGTGGCTCGGGCTGAACTTGCAGTTGAACAAGGTCGGGTACTTTTGGTACCCTGCAGCTTTTTCTCCATCTCTAGGGCCAAACTTGTCGCACGATAGACACTCTGAGGTTTGTGTATTCTCACCTCAGAGCGCAATTCCTCCTTCAATCCGTTCAGGAAAATCCCAAGCAGGCAGTGATCAGGCCAATTTTTCACCCTTGCTACTCGTCGCGCCCATTCCACACGATATTCTTGGACAGTTCCCACCTGTTGAACAGCTGCGAGGTACTCATCTGGATTTTGGTATTCCGGAGGTCCGTATTGTTCTTGCAATATCTTGACCAATTCCTCCCAGTACAACACCGTACGTTCCGATAAAGCCCAAGAAAACATGTCCAATGCATCTCCTTCAAGATACATCGATGCTATGTCCACCTTTTCTTCATCCAGTGTTTCATAGTACCGAAAATATTTCTCTGCTTTCAAAATCCAGCCACGTGGGTCACCTCCTGAGAATTTGGGAAACTCAATTTTTGCATACGGAGGCCGGAAGTGTCGTCGTGAATGAGATTCTGATTCCTCCTCGGAATCGTCGGCATAGATCTTCTTCTTTGTTGTTGGATTGCGGTTGTGGACTTCTAAAGCTGCTACTTTGTCTCGTAACTCATCCAGAATGTCCAGTCGGGCAGCGATGGCGGCCAAGGGATCATTCTGTTGGGCTAGGGTGTTGCCGACATCAGGATTGCCATCAGTTGCGGAAGATCGAGTGTTTACCATAGTTGGGCAAGATCTAGTCTCTGATACCAAAAATGATAGATACCAAAAACTGGAAACTAAAAACAAGAACAAATCTTCTAAATCTCTTTAAATCAAGAATCTCGATTTTTGAGACTAAGAAGCCCAAGAGAATCTCTGAAAATATAAATGTAATATTACTCTCCCCCTTTAGCATAAACTGGCTAAGGGTATAAATAATGCAGTAATACAAGGGAAATAACAGAAA